GTCTAAGCATTTAAATGCATAATGACTTGCTTTCTCAAACTGATTTATACTAGCATGATATGTTGCTAAAAACTTATGAGCACTGTGTAAATCCACATTATCCGGTCGGAATTCATCTAAACAAAAATCAGTATATGCTGCTGCAGCACTGTCTCGTTCTCCCAACTTTTCATATAATTTGGCAGATTTCAACAAAGCCATCCCTTCAATGTCCCCAACATTATGAGCTTTATAGTAACATTTTAATGCATTCTGTTAGTAGTAGTTCCAATCTTTCATATGCCTCACCCAGAGCAGTTAGCATTCTACTATCATTAGGCATCAATTGTTGTGCTTGTTTGTAATAATACAGACAGTAGAAAGGCATTTTAAGAATATCGTAGGTTTGACCCAAACCATACCATGCTCTAAAATCCCTTTTATTAACTTCTACAAAGTAATAATAAATATAAATAGGGCATCTCATTATATTATAACTATATTGAATTTTAACTATAACTTACCAATGGCAGATCTATAGCAATGAATGGCAGCATTAATGTTTTTCAGTTCTAGAAATTCATGACCCATAAGTGTCCAAGCGGATAGAAAATGGGGATTTAACCTTAGTGCACGCTGAAAGTATAAAATTGCCTTTTGATGTTCTTGACGGATGCTATAATAGTTAGCTAAAATAAAAATCTGTTTTAGCATTTTTTAGATCCAAATTTTCAAAACCTATTTTTATTTAGCGATATACTTACCTACAATACAGCATGTCTCAACCCTATATTTGTCAATATCTACAGCAGCATGTGCAAGTTGTGCTAACTCAGTTCTTAAGCCTTTTACATACAACACATTTGAATAAATGTCAATAGAATCAAGTCGATATGGATCATCATTTCTTAATTTTTTGAATATCTCTAATGCTTTATCTACATCTAAAAATTATCAGACAATGTTAATCAAATTGAAAATAATACCTTCATAAGGAACTAATAAAAAAATAATACCTCTTAAATTATGATTAGCAACAGCTAATTGAGCTAACACTTCATTACATTTATCAAAACCAGATCTTTGTAGTGCACTAAGCAATTCAATGGCTTCTTCATTCTGGATGAGTTCGAGATGCACCCGAATCAAGAAGAATGGTACCATCCAGTGTGAAGGCAATTGCAAAGAATTTAATTGTAACCTTTAATCAAATCAATATTTATATGAAAAATTATTAATTCATGATAACATTTTAATCCGATTACCTATTTGTGATGAGTGGTGCAAGTTCTAACCAAGCTCCCCATAATGTGGGTACAAGGGTTAGCGATTCCATTAAAATATCAACAGCGAGACTATTTAATTGCATTTTTTTCAGAACTATGCCATATAGATAAAGACAATAACCATCTAAACTATTGGTCTCTCTTTCTAACTAAAATTATCACAGTCTTAGTAATAAATCAACTTGTTTTATAATTATTTAACAACTTACCTTCAACATATTGTACAATTCTTTATGAATATTATTATTGTAAGCTGAGGATACTGTAGGTTCATTCAGGTTATCTATCTTTTTCTTCTCGGCTGAAGTATATTTAGAATAATAATATAAAAACCTTGCCTTTTCATCTGTGCATGGTTCCAAAATATTTGCTGCTCTAATAAATAAAAGAGTTCATTTTTGGTTCTTATAGGTACATAAGATTTTTAATTTTAGATATAGAATACCTATCATATTCTTGACATTGAAAATACATCCTTCCCAAAATGTATGCAGCCCTATCATCGTGCTTTACAGGTTTTGAGTTTTCAACATCGTCTAGAGGCACTGATGAAAGACCAAAATTTAAATCAGCTAACCATTTTGCATTTTGTTCGAGGCCTCTGTCAAAACATTCATAAATAGCTGATTGTAACTCTGATTTTACAATCTTTAAGTCTATCCTCTCAATATATTCAGTCATATCGAAAATTTTTGAAGAGGCTTAGGCTTTTGAAGATTTCCTAGAATTATTTATTTTTAAGTGCTTTAATTTTACGTTTTCGACAATAATATCACAGAATTTGACATTTAATTATATTTATATTTTGACAGCGTTCACTGGTTAAAACCGTTGAAGTATTTTTCCAACCTGTCAAATTCACAGAACAGCCAATACAAAAATATCGAAATTTGTAGGTTAAAAAGGTTAGAAATAACAACAAAATTTCCTTAAAAATTGATTATAAAATCATAAAATTAAAATTGGGTTCTTGAAAATATTTTCAAAGTTTAGAGTGGACGATCAACAGTGTCGAAGTGCATTTTTCGTTTAAGTATTTTATTGAATAATAGTCTGTGATATGATAAAAAGTATATTTTCAAATTAATAATCATCGTAAATATTTTAAAATACAACAAGATGAGACATATTAAAATGAGTAATGCGTTGCAAATATCAATACAAAAGCTCTACTTTCGTATTAATATTTATTCAAGCGCTTATATAATTTGCCATTTTCCAATTTTAAAATTGAAAGGTAATTTATATGCAATCTATATATGTACCTTATTGATTTCACTTACATGCAATGCTATTAACTATTCTTTTTGATTTCGATTCAAAACACAATCATTTTGTGAGCTATGTTATATATTATACATTACAACTTCCATTATCTACTTTTAATCGTGATCAGTTACATTCCTTTCGGTCTTTTCTTTTATTCATGGTTAAGCAGCCTCGAAGCATTCTTTTTAACTTATCAATTGATATATAAAATTAAATATAAATATATATATATATATATATATATATATATGTATATACATATACGAGAAATGTTCAAAATAGTATTTTTAGATTTCTTACATATAAATATAATAAAAACCATATTTCCAAATTGCCTAATTTCACTTTATGAAACAAAATGCTCAATGATTTCATTTTTTAAATATTTTCTTAAATTCAAAGTGTAAAAAACTTACTTTGAAATAATTACAACTTAAATATTTAAGCAAGCATTTAATGATCATTAATGTAAAAATGAAAAATGCATGTAATAGAATTTGAAGTATAATATCTTTTGTTTCAATCTAAAAAAGTTAGAGAAATATGCTATATACAATATTCAATTGTTTTCTAAAAACAAATATTGCATTGCTATATTATATGTAATAATATTACTTGTTTGATATTTGTTAATAAGTCTTAACTTATAATCATTTTTTTCAGGAATCAGGCAGCGACATGAATTCAAACATGGATATCAAAAATGTATATGAAGCCAATGAGCAGACATCAGAATCTTCTAATAATACGACTAGTAATTGTTTTGAAAACTTAGACAGCTGCATGAATAATTCTTCTAGGTATGAGAATAATTATAAATATGAAATAGAAAATGAATTGAGGTACGCATGATTTTAAACCTCTTTTGTAGTATACAAAGTACTGACCTCAATATTTAAGTTTTTTTTCCACTTTGATGGATTAAATATATTTATGATAATTACATGTTTTGTGTCAAAAGAAGCATTGGAATTTTTTTAGATCTTTTTTATGACTGAAAATATTTTTTGTCCTAACTTCTACTTCTGAAATAAGTATATTTTGTTAAACTAAATTCAACACTTTTATAAGCGTATCATATGAATTTTCCATACCAGTTCCCCTCATCTTCATAATCCAACTCAAAATACTCCCAACCTGATTGATCTTTCATTTGGAACTGATCCTCCTAATGTTGGCCGTGATGTATTTGGGTGTGAATTTTGTGACCTAGAACCATGTATGGTGCAAGGTGCTTTGCAGCACGCTAGACGATCGTCTTTTGAATTATCTTCGGCTATTAGACAAATTCCAATAAGAATGATTTGCGAGGAAATCGGATTGAAAGATCTGATTTTTGAAGACAAAAGTTATGAAACATCAACTAATGTGCGTAGTTTATTTTATTAATGCCAGGAAAAATATAGTTCTAAGTTACTCATCATATAAATATAATCTAGAATAAATTTTACAATTTCATTATTAATTATTAACCATATAGTGTTGAGTTTGATGCACATAATAGTCCACCCGCTTATATTTTTGATGACTATCATAAAATTATATACTTAAAATATTAACTAAATAGTAATAAACAAGATCAATCTAAATTTTATTTGAAAGACAAATGTTGTATATTGTGGTGATGTTGATTTTAACATATTTATCTGGATAATATATATATATATATATATATATATATATATATTATATATATTTATAATTACCAAATAAAGTGTGTGTTCAAAAACTGAGTGTTGTATTGTTCATATTTAACATATATATATAATTATCACTCACTCTGTTAATAACAAAAAATATATTTATTAGAAAAATACTTATTCTAACGTTTTAAAATTATTAGAATAATACATCAAATGGAACTAGCTCCTCCACTGATAATCTAGAGAATATTGAACCGCCTATGGAGTGCGATGTATTGGCTCTGGCATGTATTGCCGAGGAACTTACTTTAGAGCCCGAAGTCGAGAATTGAATCATAGATCCGGTGCCTACGTGAATATGTCAAGATCTTCGCATATATTTTGATTTGAGGACTCAATTACAGATTTGAAGAGAAATTTAGATTAGAAGAAAAGAAAATTGCAGTAAAAAATCTGTAGAACTTATTTGAACAAAAAATCTATTTGGTGCAGTATCCATTGTCACAAATAGAAATGTTACTAAACATTTAATACACAATATGGAATTATTATAAACGAATTTTAATTTTCAAGTTTATATTTATGATTGACTAAAGTTAATGTATATTTCCAAACTATTGCCATTTATTACCATTGAAAATCAAACTAAACTTACTTTGCGATAACATTTAAAATGAGACAATGACCCAGTATGGCTTATTATTTCTCTGCGTATTCAAACAAAAATGGTAACTAATGAAAGGTTTTTGTAGCCTTTTAATATAAATTTGTCCTGAAATATATATTCTCCTACTGCTAGCACCAGTACTCATATTTTATAAATCTTTATTAATCATCACAGAAATATGACAAATTATTACAAAACATATATTACAATTAAGTATAATATTCACAGCACTACTGTATTTAATAATTCATTACAATACATTGTTTCATATAAATAAATTATATAAGTTATAGCTAAACTAAAGAAATATCTTATGATCTACATATTGCACAAGTTTTATGATTAAATCATGATTGTCATTATCAAGCTAAATTTAAATACAAAAATATATATTTTCTTAATAACAATATTATCTCAAATCTTTCATTAAAAGCCACTAATACCAAATATTGGCATTCGCATCAATATTAACAAGACGATTGTTGTAGTTAATTGTTGGTAATTGCTTATATTGAACTACTTCACAAAAAGGTTCATTTAAATTTTTGATATAGTTATTCATTTCTATATGCCGTCCATTATGCCATCCTGTGCGCATTTGTGGCAAAACACCATTTTGATTCACTATCCTGGTATATTCAGTTTAGTTGAAGTAGTTGAATAAATATTATGTATGCCGTGAATTGTTGGGGTTGCAACGAGATTCTTCTGTCTGCAATCCTATTGGGACTTGATAATTTTTGACTAACAGTTACATCTTTCTGCTTGGCCATCGCAGGCTGTTCTTTCGGTTTGGCCGTCGTCAATTTCAAGCTGCGAAAAGCAGAAGATAATCTTCTGTCAAAATAGTCGATTTTTCTCTCTTGGGATAGATTTTGAACATTCGTTGGTGTAGCTCGAGCTGGTGTGGCTCTTACTGGTGAAGCCTGGACCGGCGATACTTTAGCTTTTGGACTGACTACTCTTTGCAAACGGGATAAAAATGATGTCTTGGTAGGCGTTTCAACCGCTGCCTGAGCTTTTACTACTGGAGGTTTTTCTGCTGTTAAAATTGGTTTTGGGCGCTTGTCTCTGGTTGTTTCTTTAGCTCTGCTTAAGCATGTGTATCGTGGAAACCATGTAGGCGTTGTTGCACTTGCTATAACGTCTCCATTTGTGGCCATCGGGCCAATATTGTTGTCGAATTCATCGGCCCAAAACAAGTACTGCCTTTCATCAAATTGCTGGCTGTAATAAAAATATATGTTAATACATGCTGAAAATTGAGTAAATATATGCTCTTATTATTATTTAAATATGTATTACTGTTATACTTTTTATAGTGCGAAATTCGTGTAATATACTGTAATTTTTTTATCTTATGTTACTCTTCATCAAAAATTAAAATTGCAGAATATTTAAAACGTGTACAGCATGTAGTCTAAAAAGTAGAAATTAAAAATATTTATTTACCTTGCATATTCTGAGGATTTTTTCTCTGGGAAGGGTTTTGGGCTGGAACTACGTGGTGGTAGAGAGTCGACAATTATTTTGCTAAGTGCCCCTCCAAATTTTTCGATATCTTCGTCGACGCGACAATAATTTGCACTATGAGGAAATGGTGCTGTTTGTCACAATGGATGCCTTTGGAACACCTGGCGGTCCGTTTGATTTGCTGGCTATATCTGGTCGGATCTCTTCGCTACAATTAAAATGAATCAATTAAAAATGCATGTTATAGTTTTTTCTATTTTTAAATATTTATGATATAACGAAAATTTTGAATTACTGGAAAATGAATACTGTAAATTATAATGTGACAAATGAAATATTTTGCCACGGATAATTTTCAAAGTGAAATCGCTTTCCCATGCAAATTATAAAGGTCCTACAAATCGTTGTCAAAAATTATATGCACAATTTATATAATCTTCAACAACAAGTTTAAACCTAAAGGATACGATTATTGGTTCAGGTACTGCGCAAAAATTTTACGGACGTTTCCAAAAATATTATTAAGCAAAAAATCCAGAAATACTTCGTATTATATATTTATTCAAAGTTGGGCTTTTATTATTGTCTGTGCAATATCAAAGAAGGGTATTATGAGTGCGGTGAAATAGATTAACCAGGTCAATTGTTACCTGAACAGGTAACGAGACGACTGATGTCTAAGTAACGGTAAATAACATTTGAATCGGCGTAGTAGAAACAGTATAGAATATATAAATTTAAATATATATATTATCTTAAAATTATTTATATATATATATATATATATATATATATATATATATATATATATATATATAAATCGGCTATTAAATATGCATGTTCAAATTATAAATTTTTTGTGGTGCAAAACTAAAAATATATTATAACCATGTACTTAATATATTATTTGAGTATAAATATATAATAAAATAATATATATTTAAGTTAATTATTTGTTCTTAATTTTCTAAACTAAAAAAAAATTGCCAAAAAAATACTGCAACTGATTATGGTTCTCTTACATACATAATAATTAAAGTTTACAAGCAAAAATGATATCATTATGATTGAATAAAATTTATTGAAAATGTCTCGATTAGATTGATAAATATTATCAATAATAAAATAATATCAAATATTTTTATATAAAAATTGAAATTAGGAAACTTAGGGTACGAGAATCATCTCATAAGCAATTGCAATTTCATTATGGCCGTATTTTCGATTTTCAAAGAACAATAAATTTTACTTACACTAAAATATGCTGGATGGATATCCATATTTCTTCTTTTAAATACCTATACACTATTTTTTTAATTAAATTATCTGTTATTTCTTTTACAAATTATTTCCGACACTGACAGTTCAAGGTAATATTTGGTACTGATCCTTCCCGGGATGGAGGTCAGTTTTATAAAGGATTAAAAATTAGCCAGCCCCTTTTTGTGTCACCAAGCTCCACCCCTCGTTCGGGGGTGCTGCGATGTTGTTGAGGATTAAATTAAATGAATATCAAATGTTTATATGCAAAAACGAAATCGCAAAATGGATAACAATTACGAAATATTGATTTTCACGCCGTTTGCTAAACTTATAATTGAAAAGCTCATACGCCATTTTGGAAAACTACATGTGTATTGTTGCCAGATTACGAATTTTTACACGAGTTATTTTTTTTAGGTGTTGACTTAACAAATTACAAGACAAATATTTTTTTTCAAAAGTTATTATTGCTTTCTATGCAATTTATTAAAATCATTCGTGAATTAACTTCCGGAAAGAGTTAGTTTTCGCCATTAAGTCCAATTTACTAATTTTATATTTTCTAGACGTTTAAGGTAATTGTGAATCATTTGACCACATCATTTGAAAAAAAAAATGTATTCTGTATTTGTGACAAAATGTGATCGTTTGCAATCGTAATTCGGTTTAGTGTGTTCTGTACATTGTTCAATTTATTTTAGATAATTTTTTCATTTTCTAAACGTATTAAAATATTATAAACCTACGAGAAGTGGTTTTATTATAAACATTCATTAAAGCTTGGTTTTTAGAACATGCGCCATCTATGTTCTATTCTGTATTTCCTACTGATCACAGTTAACGTACACATTTAAATTTTTTAGTATATGAAGTAAAATGAAATGTGTTCAATAATTAATTCAATTGGAGGAATTATGAATTTATTTAATTTATATAAAATTGCTGAATGAGTTTTGCGTGAAACTGAAAACTTCATTTTTGAAATAAACATTTAACAATTTTATCTAAATAGCATAATATAATAAAATTATTACTACAAACAAATTAAATTTGCCTAGTTTAGTTACAAATACAATTGCGTACAGAAAATAATATGCAAAGTACACAGTTTAAATTCACTACGGATATTGTAAAACAGTATTCTTGGAAGTAATTATTGTAATCGACACGAAGCGATATTTAAATAAAAACCAAGCATACTTATGTGTTATCTTCTGCAAAACTAAATTGCAACAATTAGTTAAATGAATATCATTTATGTCATATTATTTGGCGCATCTCATTGTAATGAAAAGATGCAGCATTGTTACAAGTTCTTAGAAATGACCAAAAACTGAGCGAGAGCAATTATTTTACGAATATATTTTTGGGAACGATCAGAGAATTTCTCGGAACTTAAATTAAAGGAATTGAATTGGAAATAAGAAATATCCACAAAGTAAATGGAAAAATAAAGATCCATACTACGTAATCTACGTAATATCTTCAAGCATAATTTTTTTTTATTAAAAGTGCTGTACGGATATGAATTTTCTACAGGCAAATTTTAATCCAAATTCCTTCATGTATAAGATTTTAATAAAATCATTAAAATTTTCTATTTGTACATACGTTTATATATTACAATAGCTTATGGGATATTACTGCATCCTGATTGCTCTTTTAAGGAGTTAAAAAACGTGCTTATTTTTTATCTGCTGTGATTATATAATCGCATATATGTATTATATACAGTTAATAGTCATAAATTCATTGTATGTGAATTTATTACAATAGTAATACCTATCAGGGTATACTATTGAAATAGTAAATGCTGTTAAAAACAAATATTTTGATCTAATATTGTATTAAAATTTTTAAAGTATTGCTAAGTAACTAAGAGAATTTATTGGATTTCTTGATATGTAAGGTGGAATTTACAGGTTTTGTGAAAATTAACTCTCCATGGGCAGAATTTTTGTTTTACATCTAAAAAACTAGGAAAACAAAAAATCAGTAATCATAAATCATAAGCCTATGCAAATGAAAAAAATGTTGGCATACACTTTTTGGCAGCAATGAAATATGTGAAGTCATAATTAAAAAAAAGCCATAATTATTTAGTAAAATATCGGAAAATTTAGGATATAACCTGAAAGTTACGCGGATCCATAGATGCTTATTCTAATAAGTTTGATTTTCCAAAGCTATAAGTTTCCAGTTATTTAATTAATCATCTGCACGTTTCAATGGTAAATGTGGTCACAGACTGCATAATAACAAATTGTTACACTTGTTAGCCATGCATAGGATTCTCTCACGTATTATTATAAACTAATAATGAAATAAAAATATATTATCATGAATATATCCCAAGATTTGACTCCTAATTACCTTTTCCTTCGTTTCTACATCTGACAAATCATTCTCTGATGATGGAAATACTCGTGCGTATCTAAAGAGGACAACGCCGTCTTGTCGACGTCGATAATTACATTGGATCGATTTTATTACCCATTGTTGGATATTTTCGATTTATTCAAAAATTTGTTCCGGGATTCAAAACTGTATCGTTTCGGTATGAGATAGAGTCGGACTAGGATAGTTGTCATATTTTTTTATACCAATCAAAATTTTATATGGTCAATATATTCTAACATCACGTACCTAAAAAAATAAATAATTAAAACCAATATTTAATTATTATTATTTGAATCACCTACCAAGTTGCTTTTTATCAATGTTATATATCAACATGTGGTGTTGCGCTCATTGCTTTGTTCCAAAATATACCTCTTCACATTTTTTAATTAACATGTTAATTAAAAAAAATGTAATTATATATATATATATATATATATATATATATATATGTATATACATAATAGTATAAATATAAATATTTGTAAATAGTAGAAAGATTGTCCATCCCCTTGTCTCACGATCAGGTAATTTTTATACTGATCCTTTTTACCTGAATTCCGTGCAATAATTACAACTTGTTACATCTTATTGTCAGTTATTTTATATATTACGTCATAATATTCCACATAGAAAATCCTCGATAAAATTTTAGGATATTCAATAAAAGTATCTGCTAAAAATTGCAGGGTCAGATTTTTTAAAAACAAATGTAATAAACAAAACAGAAAAGTCAGTACAATCTGAACAAAAATGGGTTTATAATAGTTATTTACTATAAGCAATCCATATTTTTTCGATTATCTCTAGATTTTATCTTACGTTTTCAAAAATCCATCTCTGCTTTCTAAACCATTTTCTTTGCCTTGTATATAATCTTAAATAAATTTATATTCACAATGCATTAGAAATATTCTGGAATAATTGGATGGATCTAATGAGTAGAGTATTTATCAAACTTATAATACCACAAAGTATTTATGCGTTAAAATTCTGTGATAGGAAATATATATGATGTTTTTAAAATTTAGATATATAAGAATGGAACAAAATCGTTTTAAAATATAGAGACTTGATGAGTATCAAGATTTCAAAATTATTGCGACACATTTTCAAAAGTTCCTAAATCAGATTTCTTAATGATTAAGTTGATTATTACATATATCGTAATATTTATAAAATTTCCAAATCTGATGAAATGAATTCGACATTGGGTGTTATAAGTTCTTACATTATATATTTTAATTAAATTCAATACAATTTTATTTAAAATTTTGAAAATTTTTAAACATGTAATGAAATAAAAATTAAAGTAAGTTGGATTTCAGATAATATATCTGAAAATATATGGAAAATTGTGTAATTAAAACCAATGCAAATTTTATATTAAAAACAAAGTTTTGGTACGAAATCCTAAGAAAT